AAATTGCTTCAGAGCCATAAAGGTGAAGTAGGTGTCTTGTTATTCATAACAAGCCATTTTCCATAACAATTTGGTTTATGTTATTGCGGTGACTTTTGGAAAGCACCTAAGGATGGGGGCTAGTTGCCAGGAGAACAAATCATGTGATTAAAAGTTTGGAACTTTTAGTCCCAAACCCTCTCACCTCCTGGGTAGGAGTTCAATCACCAGTGAGTTGATTGACTTCAATCACCAATGGCCAATGATTTAATCATTATACCTATGTAATGCAGTCTCCAGAAAAACCACAAGGACAGAGTTCAGAGAGCATCCAGGTTGGTGAAAATATGGAGATTTGGGGAAAGTGACATCTAGAGAGGACATGAAAGCTCTGCACATTTTCCCCATATCTTGCCCTATGTATCTCTTCATCTAGCTGTTGATTCATATCCTTTAATATCCTTTGTAATAAACCAGTAATCTAGTAAGTAAATGGGTTTTCTGAGTTCTGTGAACCACTCTAGCAAATTAATCAAACCCAAGATGGGGGGTCACGGGAACCTCTGGTTTATAGCCAGTAGGACAGAAGCACAGGTAACAACCTGGACTTGTGATTGTCATCCTGAGTTTGAGGGGGTCTTTGGAACCTCCAATCTGTAGCCAGTTGGTCAGAAGCACAGGTAACAACTTGGGCTTGTGACTGGCATCTGAAGTGGAGAGCAGTCTTGTGGAACTGAGTACTTTACCTGTGGACTCTGATGTTATCTCTGGGTAGATAGTGTCAAAATTGAGTTGAATTGTAGGACACCTAGCTTGTGTCTGAGAATTGCTAGTTGGTGTGAGGATCCTCCCTCTCCATGGTGGAATTAGGTCCAGAATACTATTAGAGGTGTTCCCTCCTTTTTTTTTTTTTATTTTCTGGAAGAGTTTGAGAAGTATAGGTGTTCATTTTTCTTTAAATGTTCAGCAGAATTCACCAATGAAGCCATCTGGTCCTGGACTTTTCTTTTTGGGGAGGTTTTTGACTATTTGTTCAATCTCTTTACTTATTATAAGTCTTCTCAGATTTCTATTTGCTGTTGAGTCAGTTTTGGTAATTTGTATTTTTCTAGACAATTTTCCATTTCATTTTAGAGTGTTTAATTTGTTGGCATATAATTGTTCATAGTATTCTCTTATGTCCCTTTTATTTCTGTAAGGCCAGTAGTAATGTCTCCATCTTCATTTTTTATTTTAGTCATTTGTATCTTTTCTCTCCTCTTCTTAGTCTAGGTAAAAGTCTGTCAATTTTATTGATCTTTCCGAAGAACTAACTTTTGGTTTTGTTGATTCTCTCTACTGCTTTTCTATCCTCTATTTCATTTATCTCTGTTCTAATCTTTATTATTTCCTTCTTTCTGCTAGTTTTGGGTTTAGTTTGCTCTTTTATTCAACTTTGTTAAAGTGTAAAGTTATGTTATTGATTTGAGATCTTTATCTCTACATACCCCTTCCCCACACATACCCACAGCCTCTCCCAACATCAACATCTCACACACCAGTATGATATATTTCTTATAATCAATGGACCAACATTAGCACATCATTATCAACCCAAGTCCATAATTTCCATTACAGTTCAGACTTTGTGCTGTATATTCTACAGGTTTTGACAAATGTATACATTATCACAGTATCATACAGAATAATTTCACTGCCCTAAAAATCCCCTGTGCCCCTCCTCCTCATTCTTTCTTCCCTCCTCCCACATCCCTGGCAACCACTGATATTTTTACTGTCTCCATAGTTTTGTCTTTTCCAGAATATTTTGTTGTGGTTGTTCCTCATTTACTCATTCCCTTTTGTGTACGTTTTTGGATAGTTTCTTAGTAGTGGTTACTATGGAGACTAAAATTGGCATCCTAAATTTATAATAATCTAGTTTGGATTGATGCCAAGTTAAATTCAACAGCACACAAAATATTTGTTCCTATACAACTCCATCTCCCCCACCCCCCACTTTATGTTGCTTTGTCACAAATTACATCTTTATACATTGTGTGTCCATTAATATAGATTTATAATTGTTGCATCATGGATTTGTCTTTTAAATAATATAGGAAATAAAAAGAAGTGTTACACACCAAAAATAGAATAATACTGGCTTTTATATTTACCTATATAATTACCTTTGTCAGAGTCCTTCATTTCTTTTTAAGGCTTCAGTTTGTTCTCTAATGTCTCTTCATTGCAGCCTTTAGCATTTCATATAGGGCAGGTGTACTAAAAACAAACTCCCTCAACTTTTGTTTATCAGGGAACATCTTAATTTCTTATTTGTTTTTGAAGGACAATTTTGCTGGATATAGAACTTTTGGTTGAGGTATTGCTTTTCTTTTATCACTTTAAAAATGTCATCCTATTCTTTTCTGGCTTCCATGGTTTCTGATGACAAATTGGTTACTAAGTTTGAAGACCCCTTATACATGACAAACCACTCCTCTCTTGCTGCATTCAAGATTCTCTCTGGCTTTTGACAATTTCATTACAATGTATCTCAGTGTGGATCTCTTTGTGTTTATCTTTCTTGGAGTTTGTTGAGCTTCTTGGATATATAGATTTGCATCTTTAATCAAATCTGGGAAGGTTTTAGCCATTATTTCTTCAAATATTCTTTCTGCCTTTTTCTCTCCTCTTTTTCTAGGACTTTCATTATCTATATATTGGTACTCTTGATGGTGTCTCACAGGTCCCTTAGGCTCTGTTACTTTTTCTTCATTTTTTTCTTTCTGTTCATCATACTTGATGATTTCAATTGACCTGTCTTCCAGTTCTCTGATTCTTTCTTCTGCTTGTTTAAATCTACTATTGAAAACTTCCAGTAACTTTTTCATTTCAGTTATTATTATTATTATTATTTTTGCTGAGGAAGATTGTCACTGAGCTAACATCTGCGCCAATCTTCCTCTTTTTTTTTTTTTTTTTGTATGTGCAACACTTCCACAGCATGGCTTGATGAGCAGTGTGTAGGTCCGTGACCAAATGTGAACCCATGAACCCCAGGCCACTGAGGTGGAATGTGCAAACTTAACCACTATGCCACCAGGCTGGTCCCCAGTTATTGTATTTTTCAGTTCCAGAATTTCTTTTTGATTCCTTTTTGTAATTTCTGTCTCTTTCTTAATAATCTCTATTGACACATCATTCCTCTGGTTTTCTTTAGCTCTTTGTCCATGATTTTCTTTAGCTATTTGAGCATATTCAAGACAGTTCAAGTCTTTTTCTAGTAAGTCCAATGTTTGTGCTCCCTCAGAGACAATTTCTGTTAATTTATTCTATGAGAAAGCCATATTTCTTTTTTCTTTTCATGTGCTATAATCTATTGCTGAAAACAGGATACTTTGAATGTTATAATGTGGTAACTCTAAAAATCAGATTCTTCCCCCTTTTCAGGATTTCTTTGTGTTGCTTGCTGTGGGCTGTAGCTGTTGGTTTGTTAAGTAATTTTTCTAAACTATTTTTGTTAGGTCTATATTCTTTTTCATGTGTCATCTTTGCAATCTCTTTTCCTTTAGCTTGTGTTCAGTGTTTTGACAGAGATTTCCCTATACACTAGGAGAGAGAGAGAGAGAGAGAAGAGAGGGAGGAAGGGAGAGAGAGACACAGAGAGAGAGAGAACAATACTTTTCCTAGTCTTTTTCAGATTGGCTCTATGCAAGGGCACCCCTTCAATGAGTAGCTAGGCCATTTAAAAACTCTGCCTTAACTTCCTGCATATGTCATACCTAGAGATCAGCCAGAGGTGAAAACTTAGGGTCTTCTGAGGTCTTTTCTGAGAATGTGTCCTGCCCTGTGCATGCACATGACTTTCTAAATTCCGTAGTATACATAGGCTTTTTTTTTTTTTTTTGGTGAGGAAGATTAGCCCTGGGCTAACGTCTGTGCCCATCTTCCTCTACTTTACACGAGGAACACCTGTCACAGCATGGCTTGATAAGCAGTGTGTAGGTCCGCACCCAGGATCCGAAACTGTGAACCCCAAGCCACCAAAGTAGAGTGTGCAAACTTAACCACTACACCACTGGGCTGGTCGCTACATAGGCATTTTTGAATGCCTTAATTTCCCAAAGAAATTCTCCCTGCAGCTTTTCCTACTTTTGCAATTTTTCTATGAGTTTGAACTTATTTACAATAAAAGAGCATAGATTTTGAGGCCAAAGAGTTCTGAGTTCAAACCCAAGCACTACCACTTGCTTGCTGTGTGATCTTGTGCAAGTTACTTTCATTGGGCTTCAGTGCTCTCAGCTGTAAAATGAAGATCATAATACCTACTTTTCTGAATTGTAAGTTTTTTTGTTTGTTTGTTTGTTTGTTTGTTTGTGAGGAAGATTGGCCCTGAGCTAACATCTGCCAATCCTCCTCTTTTTTTTTTGCTGAGGAAGACTGGCCCCGGGCTAACATCCATGCCCATCTTCCTCTACTTTATATGGGACACCGCCACAGCATGGCTTGACAAGTGGTGCATCGGTGCGTGCCCAGGATCCGAACCGGCGAACCCCAGGCCACCACAGCGGAGCACGTGCACCTAATCACTTGCGCCACTGGGCCGGCCCCTGAATTGTAAGTTTTAAGAGTAACATTCGTTTTGCACATAGCGGGTGCTTAATAGATGGTAACTATTATCATTGTTATTAAGCATACTGGGCTTGTGTTCAGTGAAAAGCTAGCCTAGTGCTAAATTTGGCACAAGAGCCAAAGATTGCTGATAACAAAAATATGATAACTCTGACTCACAATTTTCTTATCATGCTAGGTGTAAAAAGCACTATAATTGCTTTGGATCCGAGCATTTTTTAAAACTGGAATGAAGGCAAACTAGAACAGATAGGTTTAGAGATGCAATTTGAATGTGTTCCAGGGAAATCTCTATTGCAACAAGAAAGATTCCTTCAATACTATGGAAACTAATCTAAGTTAGGAAACCTAAAGCAAAAATAATTGATAATACAACGGGAAATTGCCATTAAAAAGATCTAGCATACCTTAAGATTAAGTGCATTTCTTCCATGTATTTGACAGTTTGTTATGGCCAGGTTGGTCATGGCTGTTATTGTTTCATATTGTGTGGCGGCAATAGTCTTAAAGGCTTCACCGTATATAACATATCCCTCTGATTCTTCTTTTTTTCTAGGTTTAATGAGACCTACACAAAGAGAATAAAACATGAAAATTAAATGTATTATCACTCAGAGTTAAAGGTAAAAAGTTTTTATGTTATGATAACAATAAATCATCATAAATAGGTTAGCTGTACAGATCTTCTGGAAGAGATTCCCCATAATCTTCACCCATCCAATCTCGGCTAGTCTGTTTGCCAAACTTTTTTTTTTTTTAACATTAGAGAGCACAACTGTCTTTCAAAAAGAAAATCATATGCTCATAGATTTCTACCTAGATAATTTAGATTCCATCAATCTCACTCTTTTTGTACTATATGTAAAAATATTTTTTTTAATTTTACTGTGAATTACATAAACAACTTCTTGCTTCACAAAACTAGTAAAGGACATCATATAAACATCACTTAGATAGAGATCACCTCCCAGGGAGCAACCTCACTTTTTCCCCTAATATCACCTTGATGCATGATTCAAATGCCCTATGTAATTCAAGTCTTCCCTTAGTTTGAAGACCTCACACAAGAAAGGGTAAAAACCCAAACAACTCAGGAGTTAGCCAAACAGAGACCATCTAAATTTACTTTATCATGACCCTTGTGAGTTTTGCCTTCCATCAAAAATGGCCTATCCAAGTATACACCCAAGTGCAGCAGGAAAATATTTTGAAATTTTATGAAATATATTTTACATTCCCAGTCATTCTTGCTGCATTACTTGCAGCAACATATTTTACTATCTCGATAATTCTTATGTCATTCCTTCTATGAAAGGAATAATGCGTCCTAGAACAAAGAAAACAACGTTCACTTTTTGATTTCTAAAATAGGCCCTGTGTGCCCATTTCAGATCAATAGACGTGAACATTAACCACAGAATAAAGTAAGATGTATAATATGATACAGAGATTCCTTGTCTTGGGAGATGGAATGGAGCAAAAAGGAAAGGAGAGTAAGTTAAGACGTAAGTCTGTGGCCTGCTCCCAGCTCACCCACCCTCATGGTCTAAGCCCAAGCAGTTGGTTTTTGAGTGGAAAGGAGGGAGATGGAGGTGGGGAGGTGGTTAGAAATTTGCTGATAGATCTCTGAAGGATCTGTGGACTCTTAAACTTACCTGAAACTTTTCCAAGAAGAAACCACCAGAATGGAATAAATTCAATACAGAAATGGCAGAATGAGTTGTTTAGACTTATGATATGGAGGACATCCAAAAGCTAATTTATGTCACAGACAGTGATACAGAACTACTGGGAGGAATAGTGGGCTCAGAAAGTCCTAATGTTGCTATAGCTAACAAAACTATACTGTATATTTGAAAGCCACTAAGAGAGCAAATCTTAAAATTTCTCATCACAAGAAAAAAATGTAACTACTTGAGGTGATAGACGTTAACCAAACTTATTGTGGTAATCATTTCACGATATATACATATATCAAATCATTATGTTGTACACCTTAAATTTATACAGTCTTGAGGCTGGCCGGGTAGCGCAAGCGGTTAAGTGCATGCGCTCCACTGCGGCGGCCTGGGGTTCGCCGGTTCGGATCCTGGGCGCGCACTGACGCACTGCTTGGCACGCCATGCTGTGGCAGCGTCCCATATAAAGTGGAGGAAGATGGGCATGGATGTTAGCCCAGGGCCAGTCTTCCTTAGCAAAAAAAGAGGAGGATTGGCAGATGTTAGCATAGGGCTGATCTCCTCACACAAAAAAATAAAATAAAAAATAAATTTATACAGTGTTATATGTCAATTATATCTTAATAAAACTGGAAAAAAGTTCTAAGGTTGGAGTGTTCTTCTGTGTATAATCCCCTGTTAAACACATCTATTGAATCATTAATTTGTTATATTATTTTTTCTGTTCTAGAATTTTATTTGACTCATTTTTTAAAAACAAAAATTCCACTTCTCTGGTAAAATTCTGCAACTTTTTCTTTATTTTCTTGAACATAGTAATCACAGTTATTTTAAAATCCTTATTTGAAAACTCTAATATCTGAAGCTATGGGTCTGTTTCTATCGTCCATTTCTTTCTACTGGTTTTCAGACATTTTATCCTGTTTTTAGGATGCCTTGTGATTTTTTAATTTAATGCTGGACATTGCAGACAAAAATTTTAAAGAGTCTGGATAATACTATGTCTCTCTAACAAGTGCTGATTTTCTTCACTTAGGCTGAAAATATCACTTTGATTTATCAAGGATTGATTTTGAGTTTTGTTAGGAATAATCTATTTTAGTTTAGTCTTTTCTCCCAGAACATCATCCTTATTCTTAAGGCGTAGGTCCTCTGAGTCTTCAACTGAAAGCCCAGTGTGTTTACCAAGCCTCTCCACTGTGGCAGAGCTTGAACTCCAATGACCATTTCCTGTGCAACTGTGAAAATCTGTGCTCAATTCCTTAGTATTTCAGCTGATGTTTTCTGCTGTTTTTCTTAGAGTATTGTCCTGCACATGCACAGCTTAGAAATCAGCCAATACCCTTAAGGGAGTTTGTACGTAGATAGCTGGATTCACTTCTCTCCTCTTTGAGATTTTGCCCCTCAAGTCACAGCTAAATTGGAAGCTCTGAAGTCTGACTGCGATCTCCTCAATCCAGTAATACTACTACTTTCTACTTGGGGTCTATTATCTGGCACCACAAAAGCCCTCAGGGAAATACCCAGGTAAATGTAGAGCTAACTCATAAACTTCCCTTATTTCAAAGATTATAGCCATTCAAGTCATGCCTGCAATGGTTACTCTCCAATAACTTCAATAGCTATTTTATATATTTTGGGCAAATTTAATAGTTGATTTTGGTGGGAGGGTTTGTCCGATACAAGCTACTGAATCTTGGACAGAACCAGAGGTCATCAGGTTATTTCATCTGTATCTGATAATTCTAATACCTGGAACTCCTGTGGGTATGTTTCTACTGCTTACTGTTTCTGCTAGTTTTCATTCATTTTTTCTCTCTCTTGGTGTGCCTCGTAATTATGAATTGCTTACTACACATTGTATTTGTGAAATTGTTTACAGAAATAATGTGAGGTATAGGATGATGTAATCTTTCTTTAAAGATGATTTTTCATTTGTTTCTGCTAGGTAACTATAGTCAAAGCACTTAGAACAGTGCCTGGCACATGGCAAGTAGTTAACTCTCATTATTGCATGTCTATCTGCCCCATCCATATTAAGAATACTCCGCCTTTTATGTTCCCAATATCAGTACAAAGTTTGGTTTATAGTCAATACTTAAAAAATAGTTGCTGAGTAAATGGCTTAAAGAACTGATAATGAGATGAGACATATGTGTGAATCACATACACATACACAAACACACAAAATCCTGAATACTTTTATAGAGAGATAATCTTATATACAGATTTTAAAAGAATGGTATAAACTTAGCATTTACCTTCAGGTAGGCTTGGCATTTTTTGCCTTGGGACATTTTCTGCATTTTCATATTCTGTTACAAGATTTTCTAGAAAAAAGAAAAAAATGGGACAACTTTTGGACACTTGTGAAAATTCATGTTGAGGGTGTTAATGATTTTATTATAATTATCCATCTTGTAATGAATCGGTATTATCCACGAAAATGTGCCCATGAAGGCATCCATCAGCATTCTGCTTCTAGAGCTCATCTAGATCACCTTCTGAATAATTGTTCATCACTCGTCCTTTATATTAGCTTTTCTGATCCTTTGAATTCCCTCATCTGGTTCCCACCACCATCTGGGTCAAATAACCCAGTTTTACCTTGGCAGTCCTGCAAGGTAAGGACTTCTGTTACTGCATTTTGGCCCATATAGTAAATGTATAGGTAAAAAGCGATCCCATGATCCCATCCTGCAAACCCAATGTGGGGAGCCACCATTTGCTTGCATGCCTTCTCTCCCTTTTGCTTTACTTGAGCCCATTATTACAGACCATGTTCCAAATGGATTTACCTATCATAGACAGTCTTCGAGGTTTTCTTGGTAAAGTTGGTGGTGGTAGGGAGATGGTACCTGGAAAATGACTAATACTTAGTACCACTGTAGTACTTTGTTGTGAACCGTCAGACAACTGTCTTTCTGCTTTAACAGGTATACTTCTTGGTAGAGGACTTGGTACTGTTCTAGTTAAATCCATCAGAGGTTGGTTAAAAGTAAAGGTCCTACTGTTTGGTAAATGTAGATACTCAGAGTGAACTTCCGTGAGTGTGGGAGTGGTAACTGGGGAAGGGGCACTTGAAGGTTTAGAGAATGCTGAGGAGAAAATCAGAACGTCTGTTAGCATGTTATCAACATAAACATTTTTTATTTTCGATGGCTTTTCTTTTGATTTTCTTGAACTTTCCATTTGGCTTGTTTCTTTCCCCAAAACTTGACTTGAAGCTGAATGAAAACTTGGAAAAAATTTGGAACCAGTGGCAATCTCTGGAATGTGCCAATAGCCTTTCTTAGACGTTTTTTCGGGTGTTGAAATAGTAGTCACTCTTTTTTGTATATGACGACCAGAAAAGAGATTTTGGATATTGAAAAGTGTTTGTGATTGATTTCTTGAAACATCGCGAAAACTAATTTTATCTCTTTCAGTTGAAATGGTTTCATCTTGAGCGAACTTTACACGTGGTGGCTGAGTTTCAACAGTTTTCGCTAAACCGGAAAAAGGAAAATAATACAATTAGATTATATTTATCAAGGTGTCAGGGACAAAACTATTAATGTTTTAGCATTCATAGCTCTTCTTTATCCACTCACCCCCTCTCACCTTCTAAAAATGTTTCTGCGTATACTCGCTCAGCTATCAGGACTTTTGTTTAGCCGACTGGGATAAAGTTTGGCTAAACAATTGGAGAAGTGAAAAGGCTAAATTGTATTAGATTTAGAATGGGTAAGGAGCTACTCCTGGAAGAATAGAATTGATGGAGAGAAGAGTAGAGTATTAAGGGAGATTTTTGAGCAGGTGCCACTAAAACCCTGGCACTGTGGATGGGTAAAAATGACTTGGATAAAGTTTTGCTATTTATTATTTATCATTATCTTTTCCCCATTTGAAACTTCTTTGAGAAAAGATTTACATTTCTTTTCAATGCCAGACCCCAGACCAAGGTGTCTTTTGAACTTGATAACATTCTGATACTGGCTACAAGGTACCACAAGTTCATTTAGGTTACAACACTAAGTACTCCTTTCTCTCTTGGGTCCAGAAAATGCATTGTGCCTGCATTCTTAGGCACCTCCCTACATCAAATATTCTTTCACGTGACAGGATGTTAAATGATATTTTTTCTATTCTCAGTTGAGTACAATAAATGATGAGGACCTCTACATTTTAATACAGAGATAATAGATTTATTAAGGCGAGACTTGAAAAAGGATGGCCAAAACAAGTTCAACTCTCACCCACCTGTTGTCTATATATAAGAGATGGCTAGAGATTGATCTAGGTTCAGAGAGAGGATTTCTTCTGAATAGAGCTACTGGAGTGCTATATGTTTCCCTGATCTTCCCCTCCCTATGGTGGTGAAGGAGCATGGTTTTTCCTCTACCTCAAACCAAATGAGGGGGATTCTCAGAGAATCATTTATAGAGAACAGGAGTGTATACTACAAAAGAAAATAACATCTCATCACTCCCGTTCCCACCTCCCTCACTGAGTAGCAAAAATACATTGGCCTTCCCAGTGCTGTGTCCCAACTAGAGTAAAGCAAGAGAATCCTTGAAACTACTTGACCTGTATCTCCTGGCATTTCAAGGGGGTGCAGAGACTGATGTCTGATTCTCACCTTAATTCTTAACTCTTAATTCCTCAACTCGTCCCCACTCCTAGCTCCACCTATGGAGAAGCCAGAAACTATAATATGAGTTGGGAAAGAGAAGTAAAAGAACAAGGAGGAAGGACTTATCATGCTCCTGTTTCCCTTGGCTTGTCTAAAGGTTAGCAGACCTAGTCTGAGCTGGGAAAGGGGCAAGGTTTGATTGCAGGCTGGATGAAATTACTGGTTTAGGTTAGACTAGTTGTTTAATATCTGAAAATGAGATAAGGCTAATAGAGGAAAGTGACTAAAAAAGTCTTGGGAGAAAGATGCATGCTATGTGAGTTTGCAGGGCAGGAGTAGGAGAAGAATAATGTTTGCTTCCTGTTTACATGGAACTACTCAAAGTTAGCTCATTCGATAAAATGTTTACACCACTATCTTCAACTTTATTTTCTCTCTCTCCCGTGTTAGAACAAAACATGATAACACGAGAAAAACCCTCAATAGACTCCAGAACTCCTTCCAACCACCACCATCCCACCATATTTATCCTTCCCTTCAATAGCAAACTGAAGTAATTTACACTCATTGGTTTGACTTCCTTTCCTCTCATCTCTGCTCTGTTTTGCTCTGCTCTGTTGTTTTGCTTTATTTATTCTCTAACTTTTTAATAAATTAGGAGACTTTATTTTTAGAATAGTTTTAGATATATAAAAAAGTTGAGCAAGAGAGTACAGTTACCATATACCCCCCTCTCCTGCACAGAATTTCATCTATTATTAACATCTTGCATTAGTGTGGTATGTTTATTGCAATTAATGAAACAATATTGATACATGATTAATCAAAGTCCATAGTTTACTCTTTGTGTTGTACAGTTCTATAGGTTTTGACAAATGCATAATGTCATGCATCCACCATTACAGTATCATACAAATTTTCATCACCCTAAAAATTCCCTGTGCTTCTTCTATTCATCCCTTCCCCCTCTCCTTGAACTTCTGGCAACCACTGATTTTGTTTTTTACTGTTCTACAGTTTTGCTTTTTCCAGAATGCCATGTAGTTGGACTCCTACAGTATGTAACATTTTCAGACTGGCTTCTTTCACTTAGCAATATGCAGTTCAAGTTCCTCTATGTCTTTATATGTCCTGATAGCTCATTTCTTCTTTTCATTAAATAAAATTCCACTGTGTGGATGTACCACAGTTTGTTTATCTATTCACCTATTGAATTCCTTCCAGTTTGGAGCAATTATGAATAAAGTTGATATAAATATGCATGTGCAGGTTTGTGTGTGGATGTAAGTTTTAATCTCAATTGGTTAAATATCCAGGAGTTCAATTGCTGGATTGTATGGTAAGAGTACGTTTAGCGGGCTGACCCCGTGGCTTAGCGGTTAAGTGCGTGCGCTCCGCTACTGGCAGCCTGGGTTTGGATCCCGGGCGCACACCGACGCACCGCTTCTCTGGCCATGCTAAGGCCGCGTCCCACATACAGCGACTAGAAGGATGTGCAACTATGACATACAACTATCTACTGGCGCTTTGTGGCAAAAAAAAAAAAAAAAGGAGGGGGATTGGCAATAGATGTTAGCTCAGAGCCGGTCTTCCTCAGAAAAAAAAAAAAAAAAGAGTACTTTTAGCTTTGTACAAAACTGCCAAACTGCCTTCAGAAGTGGCTGTACCATTTTGCATTCCCTCCAGCAATGAATAAGAGTTCTTCTTGCTCCTCTTCAGCATTTGGTGTTGTCAGTGTTTTGGATTTGGTCTGGTCTAGGTTCATTTTTTGTGTGTGTGGATGCCCAGTTAACTTGTTCCAGTGCCATTCATTAAAAAGACTATATTTTATCCATTGAATTGTTTTTGCTTCTTTGTCAAAGATCAGTTGACTATATTTGTGTGTGTCTATTTCTTGGCTCTCGATTCTCATCCTTTGATCTATTTGTCTATTCTTTTGCCAATACAACACTGTCTTGCTTACTGTAGCTTTATTACTACAAAGTCTTGAAATTGGGGAGTAACAATCCTACTTCCTTAATCATCTTCAGTCTTATATTGGCTATTCTAGGTCTTTTGCTTTTACATATAAACTTTAGAATAATTTTGTCAATATACATAAAGTAACTTGCTGACATTTTGACTGGGATTGTGTTGAATATATAGATCGAGTTTAGAAGAATTGACATCTTAACATCGAGTCTTCCTATTCATGAACATGGAATACCTTTCCATTTATTTAGATCTTTGATTTCTTTCATCACAGTTTTGTAGTTTTCCTCATATAAATCCTGTACATATATTGTTAGATTTATGTCTAAATAAATTGTGGTGAGTTTTGATACTGACATAAGGTGTAGTGTTCTGAATTTCAAATTCTAATTGTTTATTATTGGTATATAGGAAAGCAATTGATTTTTGTATATTAATCTTGTATCCTGTAATATTGCCATAATTGTTTAGTATTTCCAAGAGCTCTTTTGTTGATTCTTTGGGATTTTCTACATAGAACAAAGAAGAAAGACAGTTTTATTTCTTTCTTCTCAACATGTACACCTTTTATTTCATTTTCTTGTCTTATTGCATAGGACTTTCTAGTACAATTGTTGAATAGCAGTAGTGAAAGGGGACATCCTTTCCTTGTTCCAGATTTTAGGAGGAAAGCATCTAGTTTATCACCATTAAGGATAATGTTAGCTGTAGGATTTGTGGTAGATGTTCTTTATCAAGTTGAGAAAGTTCTCTATTCCTAATTTGCTAAGAGTTTCTTCATGAATGCATGTTGGATTTTGACAAATGCTTTTTCTACATCTATTGATGTGATCATGTGATTTTTTCTTCCTTAGCCTATTGATGTGAAGGGTTACATTAATTGATTATTGAATGTTGAACCAGTCTTGTATATCTAGAATAAATCCCACTTACTTGTGGTATATAAATATTTTTATACTATGTTGGATTCAATTTGCTAATATTTTGTTGAGGATTTTTGCATCTATGTTCATGAGAGATATTGGTCTGTAGTTTTCTTTTCTTGTAATGTCTTTGTCTGGTTTTGGTATTAAGGTATGCTGCCCTCATAGAATGGTTTAGGAAGTGTTCCCTCTGCTTCTATCTTCTGGAAGAGATTGTAGAGAATCAATATAATTTCCTCTTTAAATGTTTAGTAGAATTCACCAGTGACCCTATCTGGGCCTGCTGCTTTCTGTTTTGGAGGTTATTAATTACTGATTCAATTTCTTTAAAAGATATTGGCCTATTCAGGCCAATAATAATAGATCATTTATAAAGATTATTTACAATATATTATGTATTTCTCCTTGCTTGAGTTTTGGTAGTTTATGTCTTTCAGAGGCTTTGTCCATTTCATCTATGTTAGCAAATGTGTGGGCCTAGAGTTGTTCGTAGTATCCCTTTATTTTCCTTGTAATGTCCATGGAATCAGAAATGGTGAACCCTCTTCCATTTATGGTATTAGCAATTTGTGTCTTCTCTCTTTTTTCTTGTTTAGCCTGGTTAGAATTTTATCACTTTTATTAATATTTTCCTAAAACGAGCTTTTGTTTTGTTGATTTCCTCAATTGATTTCCTTTTTTCAACTTCATTGATTTCTGCTTTAACTTTTATTATTATTTTTTTTTCTCCCTGCTCTAGGTTTATACTGTTCTTTTTCTAGTTTGCTAAGGTAAAATCTTAGATTATTTATTTTAGATCAATCTTTTTCTAATATATGCATTCAATGCTATATATATCCTCTAAGCCCTGCTTTTGCTGCATGCCACAAATTTTGATGTCATATTTTTGTTTTTAGTTCCAAACATTTTTAAATATCTCTTGTGACTTTTTTGACCCATGTGCTATTTAAGTGTGCTGTTTAATCTCCAAATATTTGGG